CCCCCCCCCCCCCCCCCCCCCCCCCCGCGCACTTGGGCTTTGGAAGGCTCTCCCCACTCTCTGGTGGCTCTGAGGTCACTGGGTCTAGACTGCCTGCACAGTGTGGAACTGTAGGGGTAGCAGGCAATGGGTGCCCATGTGACCAGATTCCAGTGAAAGCGCAACCGCCGGGCTTAGGGGAGCTTCTCCAGCAGACACAATTTGTTCTCAAGAATTGTCGCAGCTTGTTGACCGACTGTGTGACCCCATCATGGCTCTACTAAGACTGGACTCTTAGGCTCTTAAAGCCTGTGCCTGATTTCCTCTGGACTTTCCCCCCATGCTCATTCATTCATTCATTCATTCATTCAGAGACACCCATTACAAAGCCCAAGCAGACCTCAAGCTCATAATCCTCCTCCTCAGCTTCCTAAACTGGGATGACAAACATGTACTGCCATGCTCACTCTCCCTCTCTGTTTGTTTTTCAGACAAGGTTTCTCTGTGTAGCCCTGGCTGTCCTGGAACTCGCTCTATAGACCAGGCTCTAGCCTAGAACCCATATAGTTCTGCCTGCCTCTGCTTCCCGAGTACTGGGATTAGAGGTGTGCGCCATCACACCTGACCACTCACCCTCTCTTATTAATTTTCCCCAAGTAAAAAAGCATTGGTTTAATGCCTCAGTACGAGCCCTGACGTAGCTCAGTGGTAGAGCAAACCGCATAGAATGCAGGAGGTCCCGGCTCGGTCCCCAGCATCAGAACTAAACAAAAGCAGAAGGCTCAGCTGGGACCCTCGCCTCCTGACAGAGTCAGATGATTGCAGCCCTGCTTGTTTTTGACCGTGGAAGCAGGAAGCTGTTTCCCCTGCTCTGTCACCGCTGGGAGCCGAGGCCCAGGATCCCTGGATCTCAGCAATCTTAGATCATGCACTCAACATAGTTTAAACCAACGCCTAGGGGTGCAGCTCAGTCCTGGTGATGCTCTGCAGACACTGAGACTTGGGTTCCCTCCCGCCACCTCGAACAAACCCAACAACTCTTACAGCCCATGGTAAAAGAAGCTAACTAACCTCTCACACCCCAGGACGGCAAAGTGGCAAAGCCAATGGAGGGTTAAATGTGTGAGTCGGAGCTCAGCCACACTATGTGTAAACAGCCATATTGTTTCCTGCATTCTCATGAAAGCCAGCAGGAAATTTATCATTCAATACACGCATGCAAAGACGTGTGTGTGTGTATGCGTGTGTGTGCGTGTGCGTGTGCGTGTGTGTGTGTGTGTGTGTGTGTATGTGTACACGCCTGCATGAAAATTGGGTTTACTAGGCAACAAAAGCCTGGCTTGTAGGCCTGGTGAGGCCCAAGATTTGAGCTACTCAGGGGACTGAGCCAAAAGGATTTCAAGTTTAAGGTTGGCCTAGAAAATTAGTGAGTCCTTGTATCCAAGCACAAAGTGAAAAAAAGATTGGGGTTGCAGGCTCTGCCATAGAGAACTTGTCTAGTAATATGAGGCCACTGCTTCAACCTCCAGTACAGCACACAAAACAAAGAACCTACGGCCTTGAACCCAGTGCCTTGCTGCATTTTATATGAACACTTCCCATATGGACAGAAAAGCTAAAAGAAGAGATGGCCCAGAGATTAGGAGCACCAGCTGCTGCTCTTGTAGAAGACCCCGGTTCAGTTCCCAGCACCCACATGGCGGTTTACAACCAGCTATAGCTGCAATTCCAGAGGGCCCTGTACCCTTCCAGACTCCTCAGGCCTCGGACACATTTGCAGTACACTTTTGTACACGCGGGCAAAACACATCCGTAGAAAATAAACACATCTGGGTTGTTTTTAAAAGAAAAGCTATAAGAACCCAATCCCAATGGCTGAGATGGGAGCTGCCCTGTGTCCTCTCTATTGACAGGAGAGCCAGTCTTTCACAGAATCTGGGGCTCAGAGTGGAAGGTTAGGGCTCCAGAAAAGAAAGGTTTGTGGCTAAGCTCAAACCTACCTCTAGCTCACAGCCCACGGGCCAGCTAATAAGAAGGCACGGCCTTGGGAGTTCTTCGTGGCTCAACAGTCAGACTGTGAGGACAGCCCTGGCTTTGTGGCAACCCCGGATGCTCCGCCCACCCGCAGCGGCCTTCTACCCTTACCCTGGGGATGGACAGAGCCGTGGATCTATGCGAGGCCGTAGCTTTGACAGCTCTTCCGACGAGTCAATCGACTGTGGCAGTGGGGCAGAGCGGATGGAAAGGGTTGTCTCCGACTCCTCCATGTCTGTTATCCCAGACTCTCCGGAGTCCTCGGCCATCTGGTTCATCTCCTCAGCTATAAACTCAGACAACTCCTTGGACAGGCCCTCAGGCGACTCTGTGCGAATCCTCTGAGGGCGGGCCGGGCGACCTGTTCGGGTGTGGCGCTGGGCCCCAGGATGGGCCCCCAACAGAACCTCTGGCTGGTCCTCCTCGCCACCCTCCTCCTCTAACTGCTCCCCGCTGGAGGAGGGCTCCATCTGCGAGCAAAGACAAACACGCCTCGGGCTGTTATCCCAGTGAGTGCTGGTTGGCGCTCTGTGAATGCAGTGATGGAGAGGGATCGGAAGGTCACACGCAGGCCAGGCAGGTGGATTTACAACTCAGCCACTCAACCTGCCTGGGGAAGGGGATATCAGGCGAGGACCAGGCCCCCCAATAGAGGAGGTATGACTGTGTGTTGAAGATTTGAGGGGGGGGGGCTAAAAAGCTGTTCTATGTGCACACAAAAGGCCGCAGGCCTGTGTGAAGTCCACTGTGCTCCCTAGCACGGTCGCACCTCAGCCAGAACACTGTCGGGATGGGTCTCTGCCATCGTGCTGGCGCGCACGTTCCCTTCGCCATCCTCGTCTTCCACAAAGTCGTAGGTCACATAATAGCTGTAACTGATGAAAGGGCCTTCAGGTCCCGGCTCTGGGTCCAAGACAGAGCTGTCCATAACACCCCTGACATTGCCGATGGTCACCAGAAACTGTGCCTCACGTGCCAACAGGTCTGCAAGGAGTGATGGCAGGACTGAGAGACTGGGCTGTCTGCTGACCTGCCCACCCACAGAGTTAGAGCCTCAGCTCTGCCGAGTCCACCGGGAGGGAGCCGTGGATAAGCCATTAGATAATTATGAAGTCTTGTTTTCCTGTTTGCCAAATGGGGGTGCCGAGAGGCGTGTGGCAGAGACAGTTCTGAGGGAGGGAGAGGTGGAGACCATCAACTAGCTATCTCAGCTGTGACCCCCAGCATCCCACCACTCAGCCAGCAAAGGCCCTGGTGCACCTCATATCAGGAGCCACAAGGGGGTGGTGTCGAGCCACCATAGAAACAAGATCCAGAAAGACCAGACGCCACCCCACGTCCCAACCACAGGGGTCCCACACAGAGAAAGCCCACAAAGTACTTAGTAGACCTGACCAGGGCCAAGGGCAAAGGGAGAGCTGCTGGCCAGCTTACAGGGCAGAGGCCTGGGTGTGTGATACACCTACCACCATGAATGCTGAGCCCCCGGAACTGGTGCTTCTCGCTAGGAGACACAGTGATGTCGTCCAGCACACAGAGGCGTGCCAGGCTGTCCACGGTAAAGCCACGGTAGTAAGGAACCAGGGCCAGTGGGTTCCCCTGCAGCACGAGCAGCCTCAGGTGCTTCAGGGTGCAGAGACCCGCTATCATGCTCTGCAAGTCGGTCAACTCGTTGAAGCCCAGGTCCAGGGAGACGAGGTTGGGCCTGGAAGGTGGACCAAGATGCTGCTTAGGCTCAGTGAGCGGAGGCTCAGCGCTCTGGGCCACATGCCTTGTTCCACCCTGGACCCGGATCAGCTCTGGAGCCGTCTCCTTTCTCTCCAAAACACAGCCTGTGTTCACGGACTCTCTCTCACAACCCTCCCCACCTGGCTTCCATCCTGCACATCCTTCTCTGCCAAAGATCAAACCCTGCTGTGCCTCTAGAAGGTTCTTTACAAATTCCCACTGACAGACATGCTGGAAACCCCTGCAGGAGGGTGGGCTAGGGAGTGTGGCTGGAAAGTGGGGACCGGGAAGGAGGGTCACCAGGCTGTGGCTGGAAATCTCTCTCCAAAGCCACAATGGCCATGGCCACAGAGAGCTCGCCAGCTCATCCTCTAGGACACAGGAGCAAAGAACGAGTGTGCTAGCACGAGCAAAGGAGACTGGCAGGCAGGCAAAGATGAAGCCCAGGCCTCCAGGAGAGACCAAGACACAGGAGCAGCAGAGCTCCACCCATGCCGCAAACTAGAGCCAGCTGGGAATAAAGGCGTGCGCCACCACTGACCAGCTGATTCTCTCTTTTAATTAACAGAAAATGATGAGTTTCATGCAAGTTGTGTGTGTGTGTGTGTGTGTGTGTGTGTGTGTGTGTGTGTGAAATCCCGAGCTGGCATTAAGGCCAAGGTTATACTATATTTTGAATCAAAAGCCAGATACTTGCTGTCAGTCAGCGACATGAACTTACATTGGCTGTCCCAAGAAGATCAAGTGTGCTGTTCCCTGGGTGTGCTGTGTTTGCTGAAGCCAGGGGACAATGGAAGGAAGGAGTCCCAGTGAGCATAAGACAGGCAGATCGGTAAGAATAGCAGAGAAAGGAGGAAGCCTGCGGTCGAGGTCGGCCAGAGAGGGCCTTCCCTTTCCACGGCACCTTCTGCCTCCGAGAGGGCTAAGGAGGGGGACCAGATCTATCACATCTTCAGCTACACACTGAGCTTGAGGCAAGCCTGGGCTACATTAGATCCTGCTGTCTTCAAAAGAAAGGGAGTGAGGGACCAGGCAGTGGTGGCACACACCTTTAATCCCAGCACTCAGGAGGCAGAGGCAGGTGGATCTCTGTGACTTCAGTGCCAGCCTAGGCTACAGAGCAAGTTCCAGGACAGCTAGGACTGTTATGCAGAGAAACCCTATCTCGAAAAACCATAAAAAAAGGGGAGGGGGGAAGCGGAAGGAAGGGAAGGGGGAGGTCAGTATAAAACCTGACCTGTGGAAATGCCCTCAGTGGATGAAATCCTGGGGCCATCCTCCTGCCCCAGCTCCCTGGGACAGCCTCCAATCTCTGCATGCTTCTCACATCCTGAATTTTAAGTTTTCCTCTGTGAATCCACCAAGGAGACACAAACTGGGAGTGGGGGATGCCCTGCACAAGCGCTGATGGATGCTCAGGGATAATGGAGTCCCAAGAGCTGTCTCTAGACAGTGGTTCTCAGCCTGGGGTGGTTTGCCCTCAGAAGACTGGCTTCTGCAGAGAGAGGCAGATGCTACAAGCACCTAGCAGCTGGAGGCCAGAGTGCTGCTAAATGTCCCCCAAACAGAAGGCATGGCCAGCTGATGCCACAGAGCTAAGCTGAGGACCTCCACCAGCCACTGGCATCCTTGTCCTCCCCGGACCTCCAGTGGGATATTGTGATCGAGTGAGAATAAAACCCTAGCGTGCGTTTAGCAGCCTTGTAGAAGTCACAGGACGAGCAAAGCCGAGTCCTCCAGGGCCAAGTCACCCCCCACCTCTTTCTTAACGCCTCTCCCTCCTTTCATCCAGGCCCCCAAGTTACCAGTTTCTGGAGGTGACATACAGACTCTCCAAAGGGCCCAGCAGTTTGTTGTGACCTAGCCCCAAGTGCTGCAGTTTCGGGGGCGGAGGTGAGCACAGACACTCCATGCTGGTGATCAAGTTGCCATAGAGCTCCAGCACCTGAGAAGGAAGAGCACCCACTGTGATGGGGGGGGGTGTGTCTCACCCCACAGGCTCCTCCTCCTACCCCAGGAAATTCAGAAGGGACTCTGGGTTGCTAACTTGCTTTAAAAAATACAGTCATGGTGCTGGAGAGATGGTGCTGGAGAGATGGCTCAGTGGTTAAGAACATTGCCTGCTCTTCCAAAGGTCCTGAGTTCAATTCCCGGCAACCACATGGTGGCTCACAACCATCTGTAATGAGGTCTGGTGCCCTCTTCTGGCTGCAGACATGCACACAGACAGAATATTGTATACATAATAAATACATAAATATTTAAAAAAAATACAGTCATGGCCGGGCGATGGTGGCGCACGCCTTTAATCCCAGCACTTGGGAGGCAGAGGCAGGCGGATCTCTGTGAGTTCGAGACCAACCTGGTCTACAGAGCTAGTTCCAGGACAGGCTTCCAGGACAGGCTTCAAAGCCACAGAGAAACCCTGTCTCGAAAAACCAAAAAAAAAAAAAAAAAAAAAAAAATACAGTCATGGTGCAAACCTTTAATCCCAGCACTCGGGAGTTCGAGACCAGCCTGGTCTACAGAGAGTTCTAGGACAGGCTCCAAAGCTACACAGAGAAACCCTGTCTCGAAAACCTCCCTCCCGCATAAAAAGAAAAAAGAAAAAAGTCAGAGGCTGGCATAGCTCAGCTGGTAGAGATCCCACCTAGCTTAAGCAGGGCCTGGAGTGCCCAGAGTGGTGGTATGCTCCTGTAATCCCAATATTTGAGAAGTGGAGGCAGGAGGATAAAGAGCTCAAGATTGCTGGGCAGTGGCTGCTGGAGGTGGTGGTTCACGCCTTTAACCAGGTAGGTTAAAAGGTAGGCAAAAGCAGGTAGACTCTGTGAGTTCAAGGCCAACCTGGTCTACAAAGTGAGTTTGAGAACAGCCAGGGCTACCTAGAGCGATCCTGTCTCCAAAAAAAAAAAAAAAAAAAAAAAAAAAAAAGCGGGGGAGTGGGGAGTGCTGGGAACTTGGGAACTGGTGAAAGCACTTGCCACATAAGCCTGATGATCTGAGTTCGATTCCCAAGTCCCAAGGTGGAAGGAGAGAACTGTAAAGCGGTCCTCTGGCCTCCACACACAGACCACAGCACGTGCGCCCCCCAAAATAATTAAATTGAACACAAAAACCGTCTAATGTAGGAAGAGTGGGTGAGGCAGCGTGTGCTTGTAACCCCAGGACTCAGGAGATCCTGCCTAGCTTGGGCTACACAGTAAATCCCAGGTCAGCCTAGACTACACAGCAACACCTAGTAACACCTAGCAACACAGCCTCTCTCAAAGGAAGGGACTTGGGGAGGGGCAGGAAGCACAGGCTGCCCCAGAGGGAAGGCTCTTCACAGTGAGGTGATAGGGAGTGGATGGGGGTCAGGTGCACACAGCCTAGAACCCTTACTGGGGGTGGGGGAGTTCAAGACAGGGCTGTCCTGGAACTCACTCTGTAGACCAGGCTGGCCCACCTACCTCTGCCTCCTGAGTGCTGGGATTAAAGCATGCACCACCTTTATACCTGTGGCTTTGAAGACTCCCAGTGAAGTCTGCTCTACCCTTTGGTTCTGTTTTGTGTGTATATGCGAGTTTTTGTGTGTATATGCGAGTGTGTTCACATACACTGTGGGTGCTCATATGTGTGTGTGCGCGCCTGCACACGCGTGCGTATGTGCTTGTGTACATGTATGCGTGCTCACACATATGTATGTGTGTGAGGCCAGAAGACAGCTTTGGCTCCCTCAGAGGCCGCTTCCCTTGTTTTTTGAGACAGCCTCCCACTGACCTGGAATTTACTCTAGAGACAGGTGGCTGGCCCGAGAGTCTCAGTTCCGTCTCTGCCTCCTCAACACTGAGATTAAAAGTACACCCCCACATTTTTCACACGGGTTCAGGAGAGCCAACTCAAGACTTCATGCCTGCAAGGCAGCCCCTTTACTACACCTGTCTCCCAGCTCCGCCCCCACCTGCTGTTTTAACTTGGTAAATTTTACACAGGCAAATCTGCCATTTCAAGTCTACGACCCACAGACTCTAATTATACCTGCAATACCAGCTACCATCACCACCGCAAACGGATTCTGAACAAAAAGCAGACGAAAAACAGACCCCACTAAGCAGGAAGTTCTCCTGGTCCTTCCTGACCCCTGTGACCTCTGCTGACTTCTGTTTCTGTGGACTGTCCACTTAAACATATTTCACTAAGTGCAGTTATACATATGGCCTCTCTCTTGGGGCTGGAGAGATGGGTCAGCAGTTAAGAACTCTGGCTGAGCCGGGCGGTGGTGGCACACGCCTTTAATCCCAGCACTCAGGAGGCAGAGGCAGGCGGATCTCTGTGAGTTCGAGGCCAGCCTGGTCTACAAGAGCTAGTTCCAGGACAGGCTCCAAAAACTACAGAAAAACCCTGTCTCGAAAATAAAGAAAAAAAAAAAAAGAACTCTGGCTGCTCTTCCAGAGGACCTGGGTTCAACTCCCGGGACCCACACGGCAGCATGCAACTAGCTGTCTGTAACTCCTGCAGCTCTTGTGTGGCAGCCTCACATAGACATACCTGCAGGCAAAACGCCAATGCACATAAAGATACACATACATAAATTATTAAAAAAGATATTTCTCTCTCTCTTTAAAATCTGGTTTCTTCCATCGAGTGTGATGTTTTCTAGGTGACCACCAATGTCCTTTCTTTTTAACAAGTGAGCAAGATTCCATTGCATGGAGAGACCAGGTCTCGGGTCATCCCCACCTTCCCTCTGCTGTGAACAGCAGGGCTAGTAACCAGAGCCTCCCGGGTCCTTCCTCCCGTGCTTGTCGCATGTACCGCGGGCGGAAGAGAGGAGTCCAAAGGATTTTGTAACTTTATAGGGAACATGGCCTATGTTTTAAAATCCTGGCACTGGGTCCCGTGCACAGCAACCCTAGCCAGAGCTGTGGGGGACAGGTGAGGGGCGGGACCTCCAGAGCTGTGAGGGACAGGTGAGGGGCGGGACCTCCAGAGCTGCTGGCTCTATGACCCTATACAGAACCTGTACCTTCAATGTTTGGGGCAGATTGTTAGCATCGATTTCCTCGATTTTATTGGCACTCAGAATCAACTCCTCAAGCTTTAGAAATTTCAAGAGATCTTTGTCCACCAGAGTCACCTGGAAGGGAAGGAAGGGAAACTGAGGACCCTGGAGAGCCAGGTCGCACTGGAGCATGTATGTTCACATGAGGAAGTAACAGCTGTGTTAGCGCCTGTTCTGCTGCTGTGACAAAATGTCACGACAAAGCCACCCTGTTTACTCTGGCTTATGGCTCCAGGGGTTTAGGTGTCTATAGTGGAGGGGAAGGCACAGCCTGGCAGCAGTGGCACAAAGCTGAGTGCTCACACTCCAACCACACACAGGAAGCAGGGAGGACAGGAAGTGGGGTGAAGCTACAGCCCCTCAAAGCCTCAGTGATGGGCTTCCTCCAGCAAGGCTGCACGTCCCAAAGGTTCCACTGAGCCATCTCTCCAGCCCCTTTTAGCCGTTCTTTAGGCCAAACCAGCCATCCTTCCCCTGGTGGGACAGTGTCTCCTGAGACCAGCAGACACTCGTTGGCATGGTCTGTTTTGCCTGCACCCTGTAGCCAGAGCCTTGTAGTCAGCTCTACTGCCTCAGCGCTGGGTGGTACTGAGAACTCGGGCTTGCATGAACTCAGAACCAAACAAAGCAAATGTTGGTTAATGGAAGAATAGAAGGATGCAGGGAGGAGTGGCTAGGGAGGGAGTGTTTGTATCCGTCACTTGCATAAGCAACGCAATAAACACATTACAGTCATCAACATGAACTTCAGTGAGCCATTCTTAGGGTTGTTGGTATTTCCTGATAAATTTTACCTCTTCCCAAGAAAAGCATATAGCAGTTGGCCAGCCTGGTCTTCCAGAATTACTGAGGCTTAGATGGAGCTGGGCCTACCAGCGGCTTCATCACTGTACCCATGAATCCTGGTTTCCTGTGGCCTCAAGGTCATCAGAAGCCCTCCCGGGCTGAGCTTCCCTTTCCTACGGTGACCAAGTCTACTCGTGTGCCCAGGATCGGGGGGGTTTCCAATCCTCAGTAAGTTCCAGACAAAACGGTATGGGTGGGCCACAGGGGAAGGAAGGAGAGACTCAGGGAGGCTGGGGTCGTTGCCATATCTATGCCTTATTAATATGAAAGCTTTCCAAAAACAGGTCTTCTTGATGTTAGCCAACCCTCTTCCACCTTAAAGAAAAACATCGTGCTCCCTTAAAGGTCTTTACCGGGAGGGCTCACTGCAGAGCTTGCAAGAGTCAGCCAAAGACATACAGGACTGAGCTCCTCCGGGGTTAGAGACAGGGAGAGAGCTACACTCAAGGTCACTCCTTGGAGTGGCCTAAGGAGAGGTTGAAAAGACAGGGTCCCCCAGAACCAACTCCCGAGGCTGCCCCCTCCCTTCCTGTCCATATGCCCCGCACTCACCCCCTTGTCCACCACCCGCAGGGACCGGAAGTAGGAGTAGAAGAAAGTGTCTCTGATCATCAGTGGGTGCTGGATGGCCAGCTCTCTCAGGAAATGGTCCTCAACGCTGGAGCCCTTCATCAAGGCCCACGGAGAATGGCTGCTGCGGACCAGACCCAGCAGGGCCTCCACAGTCTCCTCACTAGCACTCACGGTCTCCTCCTCCTTGGGGACCAAGTCCCTCCAGGCTCGCGGTGTTTGAGGAAGAAAGCGTGACTTATTCTGCAGAGGTAGAGATGGAAGCCTTCTCACACTGACGTATGTCTACCACGTTCACCATAGCAAGTGCGCGTGGTGGGGCTGTGTCAGCCAGGGCTCTCTACAGGAACAGGACTTACAGAATGTGAAACCACACATACATGCAAGATTAAAGGGAATTTATTAAAATGGCCCACAGGCTGTGGCCCAGCAGTGCAACAATGGCTGTCTAGCAACAGAAGTCCAAGAATCCAGTAATGGTTCAGTGCCCAAGGCTGGATGTCTCAGCTCACCTTCGGTTTATGCCAGACTCCCCGAGAAGTAGGCTCTCACGCCAGTGAAGGAATGGACTTGCCAGAGAGAGAGCAAGCTTCCTTCTTCCTTGTCCTTTTTACAGGCTGCCAGCAGAAGGTGTAGCCCAGATAAATGTGGATCTTCCCACCTCAAAAGATCCAGATTAAGAGTGGTCTTTTTGCCAGGCGGTGGTGGCACACACCTTTAATCCCAGCACTTGGGGAGGCAGTGGCAGGCAGATCTCTGCGAGTTCAAGGACAGCCTGGTCTACGAGTGAGTTCCAGAACAGCCAGGGCTACACAGAGAAACCCTGTTTCAATATAACAAACAAACAAAAACAAACTCAAAAAGTGGGTCTTCTCACTTCAGATAATTTATTTAAGAAAAAAACAGACCTAACAGGTGTATCCAGCTCCTTGGATTTTAGTCAGTTCCGGGTGTGATCTAGAAGAGCCGTCACCAGGCTAGTCCCAGCACTAGGGAGGCAGAGGCAGGCGGATCTCTGTGAGTCTGCAAAGCAAGTTCCAGGACAGCCAGGACTGTTACACAGAGAAACCCTGACTTGAAAAGACAAAATAAAGAGACAAGCCATCCCGGGCTCAGAAAACAATCTGCAAGAATTTCTCGTGTCCCTACCGCCACGTGGTTCCCAGGGGTCAAACGCAGATCATCACGGCTGGCAGGAAGAACTTTCCACCCTGAGCCATCAAAGGGGTCCTGGTTATCTGAGACAGGGTCTTGTGTAGATTAGGCTGGCTTTGAATTCACTGTATAGCTGACAGTTACCTTGAACCCCTTGATCCTCCTGCTCCCATCTCCTAAATTGAGGGACCATAGGCACGCACCCCGACACTAGTGATGGGCGGCCGGGAAACAAAAGAGCTGCCTCTGTTTACACACTAGGTGTGGTGAGATTAGGAACTCTCTAGAAGAGTCTCTACCGACTGAGCTACACGCCTGGCATAGGATAGTTATTTGTGGGGGCAGAGCTTTACTGTGTAGCCACACGGGCCTTGACCGCTCAGTCCTCCTGCCTCAGCCTCCTGAGTGCTGAGTTCCCGGGTGTGTGCCACCACACGCAGCAAGACACAGAATATCAAAGACCAAGTTCCTGTTTTCGCTTCACTCTGGAGTTGGGAACTTTGAACGTGCAAAGCAGAATAGCTGTGGGGGCTGCAGAAGTGGCTCAGTCAGTAGTTAGGAGCACTTGACGCTCTGCTCGAAGACCCAAGTTCAATTCCCAGCACCCAAGTCAGGCAGCTCTAAATGCCTGCAATTCCAACTTCAGGAGATCCAGTGTACTCTTCCAGCCCGAGAGCACTTGCCCCAGCACGCACATACCCACACAGAGACACACAAGTAAAAAGAACGCAATAAATTAATAGAATAAAAGGAGAATTTAGTTTGACACGGCCCAGGAGGCTCGGTAGGCAACCTGGGAAATGGAGAAGTCCATTTCCAGCGGGAAGGCTTTCCTTGGGGGCAGCAAGGGGAAGGTGAAACTTGAGCCTTGGTGAGTAAAACATGAGTGTGCTCCTCAGAATCTGCCCCTCCAGGCAACGGTTGAAATACGCCTCTTCAGATTTTATGGGCTTGTTTGATTTTGTTTGGTTTGGTGCTAGGGGTGGGAGTGGGACTAAAGGCCTCACCCCAGACAAACACGGAAAACACTTAGCTCCATCCCTACCCCTAGATCCATCTTCAAAGTTCCAAAGCTTAGGACGGTGCCCAGCACAGGTTAGCCATCGGCCTGCATCTCTTGACTAAACAAACGGAGTGTGTCCCTGATGGGTGGCTGTTTCCCTCTACAAGGGGAAGGCCAGTTTGGCTGTTTAACCGGGTAGAGTGTGGGGGGAGGCCCAGGTGACAGCCCAGACTGTCAGGACACATTTTCAGGGACCTCTAAGTCTAACCAGGCTGCTCATCCCGACCGGTGGACCCAGCTGATGACAAGGGTCCCCCTGCATATTGAGCAGGATGAACACACAAGGTGGAGTGACCAGAAGAGGATCTTCCTGCCCTGTTGGATTGGATCTTTTTTTTCCAGCTGAGCTGACCATGCCCTTGGCTGTATTTCCCTCAGTCTCTCCTCAACCTGGAAAGAGGGCAGAGGTCACACAGCACCCTAGGCTTCCCAAGTCCAGCAGTTACAGGAGGGAAGCAGGCTGTGATGGAGGAGTAGAAGACGCTGCCCAGAAGGGGAAAACTAGCCCGGTAGCCCCAGAGCACAGGGGAATCATTTTCTCTACATCTTATCTTGAGCGGCTGTAGAGTGTTCAACACCAAAGCTCTTCCCTCAGGGATCTCTTCCCTCTCGCATCTGCAGCCTGGGCTACATGAGATCAAAGGTCAGCTTGATGTGCTGGTTTAGTCCATTCTGGGCCCGTCCCCACATGGCAAGGGGGCACTTGGCCCCTGAACTCCCTCAGTGTTCCAGATCGCACTGTTCACGCCAACTCTCAAATCAGCCAACGCCACATCCAAACCTCCCAGCCGGTCTCAAACTTGTATCTGAGCATCTCCTGACCACTAGGGCAGCCGGTTCCCAGCTAGGTACCACATACTTCGGTTTACTCCATGCAGCCATTCTGGCCCAGTCCCAGGTCCGCCCCTGCTGGATCCTTCCCTCCCTCACCCCCATCCCCGGCGTGGGGAGCACGCACCCAGCTCCCGGTGCCACATGGGAATTCACGCAGACACAGCTTCCGCAGATGCTCTTGCACAGCGGTGCTCAAGGTCCCGGGTATGCCCTCGGTCTTTCTGTAGCTCGCGCTGGAGTCTCTTGTCGCCATGCTGCGAGAAACTGGCTCGTTGCTACGCAACCGCCAGACGCGTTACCCTGGGTGCGAAGAGTAAGTGAAAGCCAACCTTCCCAGTATCAAAGACCCCAGCTAAGTTTCTACCAGGCTGGCTGCAGCACCTTGTAACAGCAGGTAGTGGGCGCCTCTTAGGGGATTCTTTCCCTCCTCCCAAAGATCTGTGAAGAGTGCTGACTGTTGTCTTCCCCACTCGGCAGCTCAGAGTTTCAAAGAGGAAAAATGAGTCCGAGGTCAAACATTTAGGACTCTAATTAGGGGATCCCAGTGCAGTTCTATGTGTCTACGAATCGCTGAGCACCAGACCCATTTTAGACTCATCCAATCTTCTCTTGCCATGCCCGTGAGCACCTCCACGTGATAGGGGGCTCTCTGCCTGTGGTCTCTGAATGGGATGAGATGACTGACTGGGGCCACGCAGCATCTTCGTGGAAGTATGATCTAAGTACCATAAAACTCAAAGTGCACAATTCTGTAATTTTTGGTGGTATTCAGAGTACACCGCTGTGATCTCATCATTTTCCGTCCAGTTACAAACCAATGAAGCAAATTCTACCATCTGCTCTGCCAATGGCAAACAGTAGTTCACACTGGGTATCTGTATTTCTTGGCTTCTTCCAAAGGTGGAGTCATAGGCAAGATTTGTTTGTTTGTTTGTTTGTTTTTAAATATCTTTTTTGCTTTATTTGTGATGTTTTCAAAACTCACCCATGGAGCCCAGGCTGGTTTCAAACTCGCTGGGTAGTGGAGAAGAACCCTGAGCCTGAACCTCACCTCCTGAGTGCTGGGGCTACAAGCGTGTACCCGGCTCATTCCTGCTTTATTGTGTGCTTTATTATTTACCAGGCTTCGTTATAGTCTTTTTAAAATTTAGCTTGCGTGTGAGCATTTTGCCTGCACATAAGTTTGTGTACCACGAACGAGCCTGGTGTCCACAGAGCCAGAAGAGGGTATTGGATCCCCTAGGACTGGAGTCACAGACCGTGGTGAGCTGCCTGCCACGTCAGTCCTGGGAACTGAACTGGGGTTCTCTGGAAGAGCAGCCTGTGCTCATAACTGTAGAGCCGTCTCTCCTCTCCCCAGTCGGTAGCTTTAAGTTTCAACTAAAAGCAAGTAACAAGGACCTATCTGGAGAGCTTACTTAGATTTCCCCTCAGCTTCAGGATGTGATCAGTCCTGGCTAGTCCAGTGACCCTAAGAGTCGTGACCGAAGCGCCACATTGGAGATTCCCCTGCTGTCCCCGGCCACTCTGTCTTCTTTCTCTGCGTTTCATGACTGTGCAGTCTGCTCTCACTTTTTCCTGGATGCCACAGCTACACTTCCGCCCCAGCGACTTAATCAGAGCTCCCTCATCAGATTCCTGTGACCTCAAGTGCACAAACCTGCAAACTCTCCAGCTTATCTTCTGACCGTTCCATGGCTTGTGAGGATATCAGCCATTTCCTCTGACTTCAAAACCACTTCTTAGCCTGTTCCATGACAGCTTCCTTTCTTTCCTTTTTGGGTGTCCCTTCTTGAACCAAGTCATTTTTTTTTCTGCTGCTGACGGCTCAGGTTTCAAGACTCTACAAAGGACTGTCCCTTCTTATGGTGGGCATCCGCTATAAGCTTGCAGTTCCGTCAACTATAATATACCGATGGCTTCCAAATGGTCATTTCCGGTTCCCTCCTTTAGGTTGCAAACCCAAGTCCAGTCCTGCTAAACATCTCTAGCTGTGTTTTTTGTTTGTTTGCTTATTTGTTTTGTTTTTCGAGACAGGGTTTCTCTGTAGCTTTGGAGCCTGTCCTGAAACTTGCTCTGTAGACCAGGCTAGCCTTAAACTCACAGAGATCCCCTTGCCTCTGCCTCCAGAGTGCTGGGATTAAAGGCGTGCACTATCTGTGTTCTCCGTGCTCCTTCACCTCATGACGACAGGATGGAACTAGTTACTTTTCTCTAGCCCAGATGCTCTCTTCTCTCCTTGTTCTTCTGCTTCACTGCCTTGTGTCCGTCTGCCTGGGCCAGAAACCTACAAGTTGCCTTCACTTTCCGCCTATTCCTCCGTCTCCACAGCCGGCCATTTTTTCTGAGTTTTACTCTTCTACATTTTCCCAGTCCACATCTCTTGGCCTCCACCTGGCATTACCCAGGCTCATCTGTGAATATGTGCTGTTTGAGACCCAGTCAGGATATTCTTGGGGTCACTAAGGGGTGTAGAATATAGGTCAAGGATGGAAACCTAGGAGATATGTCTGTGAAGAAAAGAGGCAAGCAGGCAGGTGCTTAGCCTAGAGCCCTGCGGGGAGGCACAGTCAGGATAGAGCTTATTGCTCAGAGGAGGAGAGGGAGGTTTGGAAGGCAGTAGTGTTTACCACTACTCTGCCAGGTTGGCTTTTGTTTGTTTTGTTTTTGGAGACGGTCTCATGTGTAGCTCTGGCTGGTCTGGAACTCACTCTGTAGACCAGGCTCATCTCACACAGACATCTGTCTGCTTCTGCCTCTTGAGTGCTGCTGGGATTAAAGGTGTCTGTAACCATGTCTGGCTCAGACTGTATTTTATTGTATGTATTAATGTTGTACGTGAGTGGGGGGCATGTGGAAGTCAGGGGACAGCTTTGGGTCCTCACCTTCCACCTGCTTTAGGCAGGGTCTCTTTAGTGTTCGCAGAGGAGGACACCAGGCTAGCTGGTCTATGGCTTCAGGGATCCTCTCGTTTCCACCTTCCGGCTCTCAGTAGGAAAGCTAGAATTACAGACATGTAATACTGTGCCCAGTTCTACATGGACTCTGAGGGTTTATTCTCGTGTCTGGAGAGCAATCGCTTACCCACTGAGACATCTCTTGCTTTCTGTTTTTATGGACAGAGTTTCTCTGAGTAACAGCTCTGGCTATCCTGAGACTCACTCTGTAGACCAGGCTGGCCTCGAACTCACAGAGATCATGAGATTTTAAGAAAGCTATAGCTGATATGAGAAAGCTTATTTTGCATTCCCAAGGACTGAATCCAGTCTCCACAAGAAGAAGGTGAAATGGCCGGCATTGTGGCATAATAATGGTCAGAATTCCGGCATATCGTGGAGCGGTCGTGAAAAATGGCAGCTGAAAAGAGCCAGTGAGGTTACAACGTGAGGTCACTGGGGCTGCACTGTCACTTTCTTGATAACCGTAAATTTGCTGGACAGCGGTGAATTCCTATAATCCCAGCTCTAGGGAGGTGGAGGCAGGAGGATCACCAGTATGGGTTACATAGTGAGACTCCCTTCTCATAGAACAATTGACCTAGTGTCATGGAGGGAGGGCTCATGGCTCCCACCTCTCCCTGAGGATTCATGTAAGTTCAGTGACTGAGGCATTTTCCTCAGTGGGGTAGCCGCCCGTAAGTTCAAACCTACGGTTTGCAAACAGTTGCAAACAATTTTCCCTGTTCCTATAGGAAACCCTATGAAAGTTATCGGATCATTCAAACAAGCAAGACATGCAATTAGAAGGGGGCACTAGCTGGGGAGAGAAAGGGGAACAGAGGAAGAGGAAGGGAGACAAAATGTCAGCCAAGCATGCGCGTATATGTATGTGTGTGTGAATATGATCAAAATACATTACATACATACATGAAAATGTCATAGTGAAACCCATTATTATGTAAAATTAATATATGCTAATAAAAACAGTCTGAGTTCTTGGAAGATGAGGCAGGAGGATTATTGTGAGTTCAAAGCCTGGGCCACACAGTGAGTTTCAAGTTAGCTAGGGCTACAAAGTGACACCCTTATCCGAAAAACAAAGTCAACGAAAGTCCAGCCTGCCATCAGCAGGTCTTCTGTCCGGTCTCTAACAGACTCAGGAGGAAGCTATAGACTGGAGCTCCTGTTCTCACCCGGGGCTCCAGGTCTTATACCAGGCTCACACCTTTATTCAAGTCAAATTTCTTTGCTTTTGTGCTTTCCACTGAGGTACCTCTAAAGTCAGCAATGGCATCTAGCTCCTCCTCAATAGCCTCTCTGCCCTTCTCTCTGTCCTAATTTTGTGCTGGTTCTGCTTGTCATAGTGTATTTATTCTTTGAGACAGGGTCTCATAGACCCAGGCGGGCCTCCAGCTGGCTGCGTAGTAAAGATGACCTTAACCTTCTGGTCCTCCTGTCTCTCCACCTCTCAAGTTCTGAGAGTGTAAGTGTGCACCATCATGCCTCCCTTCCTCCAGTTTTGGTGGCCGCTTGGATGGACCCACAGAGCCTCAGAAGGTAGGCAAGCCCTGTACCATGGTGCTACGTCTTGTCCTTAGGGCTCCCGTGATTGCGCTAAACCAACTGAAGTAGCCAGAAAATTTCTGCATCTTCAAGTAAACTGATTACTAAACCCGATCTCCTCTCCAGGGACCCTTTTGCCACATAATATAACATAGCAGGCCCAGACAACAGCGGGTCCCAGTACTGTCTACTGCTGACTTTACCGTAAGAGTAGGTTAAGTTGTGATTTGGAAAGTGAGGCAAAGAACAAGGATTAACCGCTCTGTGGAGAAGCGTGGTCGGGGAAGAGTCGGTGTGTATGCACGCAATCCCAGGACTCAAGAGGCAGGAGGATCCCTGTGAGTTTGAGGCTAGCCTTAGCTACAAAGTAAATTCCAAGACAGGCTAGGCTAAGAGTGAAACACTTCCAAGAAGCACGGGCGAGAAAACGGAAAAGAGAAGCTGGCAGCAAAGGTGGGGTTGAGGGTGGCAGGGGTTCCTGGCGGTTTGCCCTCTATTATGTATCTTGGGGACTATGGACTGACCTCAGTCTGAGCTCTGGACTCCAGTGTCCTGGCCCCTTTGTCACAGAGCAGATAGATGGCTAATGGCGTCCAGGTGAACTCTTCCTAGCAGGGTTCTCCACTTCCTGTCTGCAAACTTCTCTTTCTTCATCTCAAACCATCTGCCTGGCTGCTTCCTCGCTGTTATGCCCAGATCCGCGAAGTCCCCCCAAAAACCAACAAGGAGACCGAGTCCCAT